TTTTAAAATCAAGTGCAGGTTAAGAACCTCCGGGGTGCAGGTTAATGCGCAGGTACATGGTGTCCTTCTAGGAATTCGGGCTCATGGCTCCAGAATGTGTGCTTTTCAGCAGCCCTCCGAGCTCTCTCCCTACCCTGAGTCCTCAACACACTCTCCTCTGCTGGCATAAATGTTTGTCTCCAACCTGAACCATCCTCCAGACAGACGGAGGGCCGAGCTGCTACACCTGCAGATGCCATGACTGCTGGGGCACAGCGGGGACATTAGTGCCCATGGACCAAGTAAGTTTGGGGGCTCTGAAACCCACGGTCAGCATCACAGGGCTCTGAGGTCCTGGCTGGGGTGTGTGAGACACAAACAGCCCAAGTCACACCTGCGCCCTCATCGTCACTCTCATCAGATTTCTTTCTCACACATAGTAACCCCAGAGTGTTTACTGAGTCGCCTCTGAGCATGCTGAGGAAGCTGGCCAGGACACAGCGGTCTGCGATCTTTAGAAGATGGTCCCAGCACAGAGCATGGATGGCCCACCAGCTAGTCTGGTCCTCCCACCCACCTGGCGCTGAACTGGCTGCTCACTGGGACCTGGGCCTCATCAGCTGCTGGAGCTTCCTCCGAGGGGAATCATTCCCCTGGGGTACTCCTGGGGTTTCCTGGGGTCTGTTTCCATGTCTTTCCTTGTTCCTCCCAACACCATCAAGGAGGAGGTATTAACACACCCCTCTTTCCAGAGACGGCCTGGCTTGCAGGCAGAGGCTCTGGGAATCCTCGCCAGTTCCCCAACCTATTATCACACCTCTAAGTATGTTAGTGTCTCTCGAGGCCAACACTGTCTTGTAAAATTTAGTGAGAGCCACAGAAGGAATTTTATATTTTCTAGTAGCCACATTAAAAAGTAATAAGAAACAGGTGAAATTTAGTTGAATAATACATTTTTAACCTAATATATATTCCAAACATTAACATTTCAATGTGGAGTCAATAGAAAACATTTGTTAAAGAGAATATTATGTCCTGTATTCATAATAAGGCTCTGAATCCTGGTGTGTGTCTCACTTTCCCAGCCTTCCCAGTATTCCAAGTGCCCAGAGACCTGGAGCAGCCCACAGCTCTCCACTGCAGGGGCTGTTCTAGACTACGGGACCACCTGCCCTTGTGGGAAGAGTGTGCAGGACCCAAAACAGAGCGAGCAGATGATCAGTGTTAGCCCCTGTTACCATCTGCCTCGGGGGATGCAAGTGTTCCATGCTGTCTTTGAACTAGTGAACAAATGTGTTGAGTCTTGCTCCAGGAAGTTCAAGGTAACCCCTACTCTGCTGCCTGGGCTGTGCTTTGCCCTCTGCCCAGGACCCTACACAGACCCCACCAAGGCCATGGCTGCTTTGTCCTCTCTGCTCCCCTATCTGAGCCCCAGGGTGTGTGCTGTACCCAGTGATGCAGAGGTCCCTGGGAGAGTTGCTGTTTGCACAAAGGCAAAGGCAGCTCCCTGGCATTGGGCCAGCTCACTGGCACAGGGCAGGGATTTTCTCAAAAGCCTGGGGTGAGCTGCGTATTTGCTGAAGAGCCAGGAGGTGCTTCCCAGCCCGCCAGGCAACATTTTGTTTCCCAAAGATCTGGGTGAGCAGAGACCTGCTCCCATGCTCACTCCCTCGCCAGAGGCCATGCCAGGGGGAAATGCCTTTTAGTGCCAGCATTCCAGGCTAGCTGTGGGCTGAGGGGCACTGGGCTGGGAGCAGGGGCTTCAAAGAGCCCAAAGAGGCTCTGAGCAAGGAGCTGGTGGGTGTGGGGCCTGGGTGGGGTTTGAAATGCTCCTTCAGATTCCAACTCTGAACTGGAGGTGTGAAAGGGCACATTGTTTGTGTTCTCTCTCTTCTGTAAAGGGGGCATTTTGACACCCAGGTCCACAGCTGGTTCTAGGGGCAGGGAACAAGGCTGTGTCCCGATCTGAATACGAGGCTCACACATGACACACTTGCACACATGCCAGCAGTGCACACTTGCACAGCAGCACACGTCCCATGTATGTTGATACGTAGACCTGTCCACAGACCCCAGCAGAACCAGTGTTAGAACTGAAACTTGTCGGAGAGGTTTTACTCAGTCACATGTTCACATTCAGCCCCAGGGAGTTTGGTGGAGGGGTGGTGGTGGTGGTGAGGGTATTAGTCCCATGAACAGATGAGGAAACTGAGGCTCAGAGTGGTCAGGGACTTGCTGAAGCTGGCGCAGTGGCAGAGCCAGCACCCCAGCGTCTCTATCCTGATGACTCTGCACGTTACCTGCCTTGATAGCTTGTACGGACAGGGACTGAGTGTGTCTTATTTCTGCACAAGTACTTGGACCAGGGAGGCAGGTATATGTTGCAAAGAGCTGGACCTAGATTTAAACTTCAGCTCCCTGATTACCAGCTGTGTGACCTTGGGGAACTTACTTAACCTCTCTGAGCTTCAGTGTTGCATCTATAATAGGGGACAATTATGCTTGCCTAATGCTGTTGTTATGGGACTTTCAAGATGTGCCTAGGAAATGCTTGTTGGATGAACTGAGGTAGGTCTCATGCAGGTATTTACACAGTATTTGGCACACAGCTGGGTAGTGCTGACTAGATGTAGCAGTCATTTTCTGCCACCTCGTGGTGGACATTCGAAAGATGTCAAAAGAAGAAAAGAATGAAGAGAAGAAAACCCAGTGCTGCCTGTTACACACCATCAGCATGTACCATGTCTCCCCCCCACCCCCCCGGTGCCCCTGGCTGGGTTTCTGAGCTCACCCCCACCTCACTCCCAGACTGAGCTCTTCCTGGGCTGGAGTCTCCCTCCTCTCATTCCAGAACCTCCTGTCACCTTTCCATATCTTGTAAGGAAGTCCTCCCTCATAACTATCTCCTCAAAATTTCCTTGGCGATTCTCACAAGCTTTCTCTTCCATATGAACATTTATGACCATTTTTCCACTAAATTCCCAAGGGGCCCAGCGTGCCTTCCCACTCAGTGTTAACTGGGGAGGACGGCTATGTATGGAATTTGGCTGTGACGCGAGGCGCTAGTTTCCAAGGGGAGTCTGGCTCGTTAACTGGCAGTCTCACAGCCCATACGGGGCGTTTTGAGGATGCCATGAGAACTCAAGTGCCATGCCTTTGTCTTGGGGGATCCTGAATCCTGAAATGATTATGGGAGTGTGTGGTCTGGGTTCCCCAGGCAAGGACTTCACGGAGGAGAGGTACCTCAAGCTCCTCCTAGACTGCAGCAGTTCTCAGCCTGTGGGTCGTGACCCACAGGAACAGTATTAAAGGGCCGCAGCATTAGTAAGGTTGAGAACCACTGTCCTAGAGCCTTCTCTCCACTCAGCTGCCTGGGCCCCTTGGGACTCCTGGCTCCTTTGCTGGAGTCTCCGCTGGCCAAGCCCTTGACTCGGTCCTCCCATGTCCCTGAACAGGCTGCTCTGGGAGGTAACAGGGGCTCCAGTGTGCGTGGACCTGGCCTTAAACTTCTCTTCTCTCCTTGCTCAGATTTCAGCCTCCCTGCAACCCTCACCTCTTCTCCATCCACTCCCTGCCCTCCCAGAATCCCAACCTGCTGTATCCATATAAAGGTAGAGCTGTACCCAATGTCCAACAGACAGAAAGTCCGACTTGGCTTCTGGTAGGAAATGGTCAGCTTCCCTAATTGGGAGAGCTTTGGGAGAAAAGTTCGAATTTGCCATCCAAGGATCTAAGTCTGAGCCCCAGCCACTGACTGTGAGACCCCGGGAAAGTCCTGTACTTGCTCTAAGTCTCCATTTGTTTCATTTGCAAAGTACAGCTCATACAGTCTTGGGAAGGTGATTTGGCACCGATGCCAGGCAGGCACCGTGCAAGGTAGGGAGGGCTTCCCTGTGAAGCTGGCAGACACACTCCCTGCTGTCACTGCACACACCGAGGCGCCTGAACAGTACCTGTCACCTGTCTCAGCCAGCTGTGGGCTCTCAGCTGCAGATATGGGTGAAGCGGACCCAGAATCTGTAAGCTCGTGGGCAAGTAGCTTAACCCTGAGCCTCAGTTTCTCCATCTGTGGAGAGGGCTCAATAATCCCCAAGGAAACCTCCATGTATGTTGGTGGTAAGCACTCTCTCTCTATCTCCCTCTGTCTCTTGGTTTCGCAGCCGGCAGCAAGCCCTGGCTGGGTCTGTGGGATCTGGCCCTCAGGAGCTGCCCAGATTTTCACCTCCTGCCCGCCCTGTGCCCTCTGCCCCTTGGCTTTTCCCGCCCTACCCCCAGCTCTAGCAGCTGGCTTGGTGCTGCCACGTGTCTTGGTCCCCTGACTTCTTGGAGATGCAGACCTTTGTCCCTGTCCCTAGGTGTAGCCTAGGATACAGGCAGGAGAGAGAGGACCCTTGGGGATGTCCCTTGTATCCCCACAGGAGACCAGGCTTCCAATGGAGGACCAAAGGGTGCTTACTCTACAAACTAGACGGCTGTGCAAACCCCAGGTTAGAGGTCACCCCAGGTGCTGTCTGCCCGGGTGAGGAGCTCTCGTTGAAGGCTGGCATTTTCATCCCCAACTTTTCTTAGTTTTTCCATGTCCTATCTTTGAAGTATCTCCAGTGCTTAGGGTCTTGGAGTTTTCAAACTCAAAGGTCTAGAATTCTCCTAACAACGTCCTCACTTTAGGGTGCTCTGGGAGGGCAAGTGACTAGCTCAAGGCCACATAGTCAGTCTTGGCAAAGTGGGGTCTGGAGCCAGGCCCCTGACGCCCAGCTTCCTTGCATGCCCCGTCCTTTCTGCTGTGTGCCAGGTGGGGAGGAAGGGCATGTAGGACCCTGTGGTTTGTTCCCCGAGCGCTGCCCCTTCCTCCCTGCCTTCCTTCCCAGGCAGCTGCACTCCTCACTCTGGGCCTCACCTGTGCCCCTCACTGGGCGCTTTCCTACCCCCACCTTCTGGGCCCTCTCATCCTCCCACCAGACCCCAAACAGCCGGACCCACAGGGAGCTGGTTGCCTCTGAGCCCCTCCGGGCAGGACTCACCATGGCTAAGATGCTGCTGGCGGCTGCTGCTGTCACTGCTGCCAGCGTCCAGGGCAGGAACCACCTCATGCCTGAGAGTCAGTGGCAAAGACATCGATTGAGAGCCCAGGGGATCCGGCCACCTCTCGGGGGAGCTGGACCCAGACTGGCCTTGCCCATCAGGAGCACCAGATATGCCTCTTCTGCGGCCCTTGGGGGGTTTTATTAAAGCAAGATCTGACGTCAGGGTTAAGGACAAACCCTGCATTTTCCTCTGAAAAAACTTTTCCTGCCTCTCTTTCTTTTTTTTCTTTCTTCGCTCTGTCCCCACCTCCAGCCCCAGCTTGGCCGGCCTCCCCTGCTCTGACAGTTCTTAAAGGGAAAGTTACAGGGCTGGGATTTCACACCGGGGTGTGAGATCCTCACCGAGCAGCCTGGGGTCACCCTGCCAGGTAGTTCCCAGAGGCAGGGAGGGGGCGGGAGGCAGAGATACTGTTACCCAGGGCAGCTGCAGTGCTTTGAAAGGCTTCCCAATGGAGAATCACGGCCCTCTCATTCCTTCAGGCTGCTCCGACTTCTGGTTCTCATTTGCTGTCTTTCTTTCCTCTCTTCCTAACTGCGAGCAGAGGAGGGTGGCTTTCAGTCTCTTGATCTAGAAATGATAGGAATTCAAGAATGAATTCAGCTCTGAGACTCAAGTTCTCAGCATCACCTTCACTGCAAATGAGAGCCATGAAGAGCAAGGTACAAGTCCCCTCTGTGCTCGCAGCCAGAGGCCCTTAGGTGCCAGAGCCATCTCCACAGCTCCCTGGACACTCAGTATCTCTGCTGCGTCTGGGGTTCTGGGTCTTCCCTTGGTACCAGACGAGAGTCTCTTCCACAGGAGTCTCTTCCTTGTGTGAGAGAGGAGGTACAGAGCCTTCTATGAGGGTCTGTCCTGCCCAAGACCAGCCCCATTCTCCCCACATGGACCATGCTGACAGCCTCCTGCCCAGCCCCAGCTTTCCTGCCCACTCTCCAGTGTCCACGTGTCTCTGAGCAACCAGAGAGATCCTTGAACGAGCATCACCATGGCACACACAGGTCATCTCCTGGAAACAATTCTTCAAAGCCTGCCTATTGCACGTAGCATGGAGTCCCCAGTCCTGGCGTGGCCTCTGGGGCCAGCTGCCCCTTGAACCCTGCTTCTTCTCTCCCTCGCAATCACTAACCTCAATCACGATAGCCCCTTTGTGGTTCCTTAAACACCTCAGGAGGTTTCTGTCTCCAGGACTCAGCAGGAATCTTTGCCTTATAGTAGAGAACAGTTACTGTTTCCTTTTCCTGTAGTTTATTAACAAGGGGATGCTGAGTATGGCTGCTCAGAGGTGGAGGCAGCCCTGTGTCCACAGAAGGGCTTGATGATAGACATGACCTCACAGGAGGTGATACTGATAATTTTTCCATGTGTTAATGAGTGTCTTTTCTATGAGACAGGGAAGATCTGCTGAGGACTCTTAGAAATGCTTTTCTTTCTCAGGACAGAAAGAATATCTCTACTGACTCTCTTTTTTCCTTGTGTGCAAACGTGATGATTGGAGCTGCAGCAGTCCTTTTGGGTATATGAGGCACAAGCCTGAGACTGAAAAGCCAACATACTGGGATAGCAGAGCAGAAGGAAGCCCTGAGTCCTTGGTACTGTGTGTCATCACCAAACTAGAAACTACCACCTTAAGACTTTCTGTTACATGAGAAACTTTGTGATTTATTGGTTAAGGCCATAGTTAGATATTTTTTATTCCTTGGAGCCAGACAAATTGCATATTAATTGATATATAAAGATTTACTAAAATCATATATATAAAATGCAAGGATGGGGGTCACATAGAGATTTCCCAGTAAATTTCAGTCCTCATTTCCTTCTCATTACCTTTCCACATGTTCTTAAAAACAAATCCCAGGAGACCAGAATTACTGACAAGTGTCATTAAAGAAATCACCCAAGGTGCTAGGCTCCAATCCAGGTTCAATGTCCTTTTGATGAACAGCAGGTATGAATAAGTCCCATGCTGTGAAATATTTCATGACTATAAGATAGATGGTACCCTGAATTGGAGGCTGAACAAAAACCCAGAGGTGACAGATGATCTCAGGACGCACATAGCAGTGGTCTGGGGCTGAAACTAAAGGCCCATTAACCTCTGACAAGGTACAGGGTCAGGACCAGACATTTCCAAGCTGGCTTGGCCTGGCAAAGCCTCTCGATGTTATGTGATAGGAGCCTGTCAGCTGGAACCCAGAGAAGGCCACTGTCATTTTTAGGAAATCTGCCTGCTTTGAGCAAATGCAACAGACACCCCAAAACATGACGGAAATGCTGGCATTCCTCCTGTTGGTGAAACCTCAGAGGGCCGAGGGGACCTCATAGGCACTGGTAATTCTTCTCTGCCAGGGAAGCATGGAGAGAGATGACCAGTGACCCAGACAGGGTGGTAGATTAGGGGCAAAATGCCTGGAGTGTGCTCACAGCTCTGCCACTCCTTGGGGTACCTTGACCAATCAACAATCTCTCCATACCTCAGTTTTCTTTGTTTAAATAAATAGGGTAAAAGGAAATAGGGTCCCCCCAAAAGATAGTTGGCATGTCCCACCAGGACTCCTGACTGGAAGGGCAAGAACAGGCCCACAGGCTGTGAGATGAGTTTGTCACCCCCACCACCACCCTGAGCTAGAGAAAGGCTGGTATGAACACTGGCTGGTAGACCAGAACAAGAGCCCGCTCTTTATGGGGTATCAGCTGTGTTCCAGGCAATGCTTACCATCCTGTGAATCCTCTTCTCAGCTCATCCTCACAGTCAATCTTCCATAAGATATTGCTATACCCATTCTACAGATGAAGAAACTAAGGCAAGGGGGGAGAAGTAACATTTCTCTGCCATTTGGCTAGTGTGGAGTATAGGTGTAATTGGAACTTGGGTCTATCAGAAACCAGACAAATTTTTTCCAAGTAGAAAAAACTATCTTATATGTTGAACAAATAAACAAATAAATACAGGAATGAATGAGCAAATAGAAGATGGATGGGTGGACAGATAGATGGATGGAGAGATGGATGGATGGATGAAGTGTGGGAAGAGGATTCCACCACATGGGACATTCCATTTCCCAGGTCTTCCAGGAAAGCTGTGGCATCTCTAGGCTACGGCATGGATGCCCCGTCCTCAGTCACTCTACCTGCTTCCTTCCTCCCCGGTCCTCGCCCAGTGTGCCGTTATCATCTTTTTAGGTATTTCCCATAGATTGTGAGGTTCAAGGGCAGGACCAGGCTGCATCTTCCTGTGGACATTGGACCCCCAACAACCGCACAGACCCTGGCATGCAGAGACGACCTGAGACATATTTTACAGGGATGACCAAGAAGGAGATGAAGTGGTGAAGGCGTGAACCGATGAAAAGGAATGAAGGAAGGAATGACCAAACACTTGAAGACGGATACAAATTTGTCCACACCTCGCTCAGGCCAAATTCAGCTCCTTGAAGTTCCTGAAAGAACACACAGCACACAGTAGGCACTCAGGAACCGCTTGTCTGGAAGGAAGGTGAGGGAGGGAAGGAAAGGGCAGGGCAGCGTCCTGGGCCAGCCCCGTGGACAAGCAGGAGTGTGGGGGCTACAGGGGCTCGACGCCGTCATCTGTCTGTTTCCAGGCATGAGGTCTGGGAGCATCACGTGGGGTAGTTTATTTTCACAGTCCTTGGTGATTTATGGGTTCACTGAGCACTGCCAAGGCCACACTGAATTTATCTGCACACTCCCTTTACTCCAAATACCCACGCCTTCCTCCACTTTCCAGTGACAACAGGGTCTGTGTCCTTGGGCTTGGAAGATTTGACTGTGTGCATCCTTGTAAACTGTGTACTGTGGTTGTTCGCTTAATAACCACCTATTGGGTACATGCCACGTGCTAAGCACCTTGGAGGTAAGTGCTCATATTATATCCTCTTTATTTGGGGGGAAATGGAGACACAGAGAGCCAAAGGAACTTGCCCCAGGTCACACAGCTTGCAGATGTCTGACTCCAGACAAGCAGAAAGTAGGCTCCTGATGTACTTTTGTGAGTTTTTTTTTTATTTGTAGAGACAGAGTTTCATTTTATTGCCCGTGGTAGAGTGCCATGGTGTCACACGGCTCACAGCAACCTCCAACTCCTGGGCTTAGGTGATTCTCTTGCCTCAGCCTCCAAGGTAGCTGGGACTACAGGCACCTGCTGCAACACTCGAGTATTTTTTTGTTGCAGTTTGCTGGGGCTGGGTTTGAACCTGCCACCCTCGCTGTATGGGGCCAGCGCTCTACTTTTTTGAGCCACAGGCGCCGCCCCTTTTGGTAGTTTTAATAGGCGGGTGCTGCAGCCTCCTTCTAGTCCTCCTCTTCTCCAGTCAGTTGTGTGTTTGTTAGATCTCTCCAGCAGCTTCTGCCTGGTGTGTGGCTCCTGACTGCTGCCTCGGTTTCCCCAGCGTGCAGCCTCATCATGCCCTCCTCCTAGTGAGAGGCACGCACGCTCCCTCCACCTCCCATGAGTACCACCCATTATGTGCCTGCTGGGGAATTTCTCTCGACCTTGGGGCGCACCTGTGAGTAGTCATCATAGTGGATATAATACCCATGTGGCAGGTGGTTCAGTGCTGCCTGCACGGGCTCCTGCCACTCACCACTGTGAGCCGTGGAGAAGTAACCTCTGTATGTCCTGGTTTCCCCATCTGTAAGAGAGGAACTAACAGCCCTGACCCACCCTGGCACAGAGTAAGAGAGGTAGAAGGCCTGATTAAACCACTGCGCACACAGTAAGTGCTCAGTAAAACCCTCCTCTGTGATGCTATTCCTCCCACTTGGCCCCTGCACTGGGAACACTCTGAGGGCAAGGTCTGTCCTGGGTCCCTTCTGTGACCCACATCTCGCCTGTCATACAATAGGTGCTTCAGATGTGTGGTGAGGGACAGGGAAGTCCACAGTGGAACCACGTTTGGGGCCCAGCTCTCATCCTGCCATGGAGATGGTTCTCCCGGGTTTGGGGTCCCTGCATCCAGCTCTGACAAGAGACTTCAGGTGGGTTCAC